GCAGAATATTGACATTCTGTTCTTCTCCTCAAAATCTGTGTTCTATTGCTCTTTCACCACTCTTTCTTCTACTTCTTCACTTTCTCTTCTCATTGAACCTGAAATCTCTTAGTGGTCAAGACTGAATAGCAGTCTTGAAAACCTACATAGCATAAATGAATGGGTCATCCATATATTGAAAAACCGAAGTTCTTGTTTGATTCTGGTTTGATTAAGCATAAAATTCCTTCCATTAATAATTTTGATATGTATTATACTTCTTGTTGCTTAAGTAAAAGTCATGTTCCAGCCTTTTATCACACATTCGAGCATGCCACTTCACCCTTTTATCACACAATGATGTTTGGACTGCTTCTATTTCTTTTCATTTGAGATACAAATACTTTGTATTGTTTATTGATGATTGCACCAGATAGATGTGGATCTACTTTCTATGACATAAATCAGGTGTTTCCTACACTCAAGTTGTTTCTCACCATAATTCAAGTTAAGTTCAAGTTAGATGTGAGTATTCTCCGCTCAAATTCAGGGGGAGAATATATGGATGGAGATTTTCAGGCTTATTTGTGAAGTTGTGGGATCTAGTCACAACGAAGTTGCCCAAACACTCCTCAACAGAATGGTGTAGCTGAGTGCAAGAATGGGCATGTTCTCAATGTTGTGAGAACTTTGGGAATTGAATCTCACGCACCACCTTCATTTTGGGTAGAAGCAACCAGTACAACTGTGTATTTGATTAATTGTCTTCCCTCCATTCTTGGGAATACTTCTCCCTTTTAGAAGCTTTTTGGCCATCTTCTTGACCTATCTAGTCTTCATGTTTTTGGTTGCTTATGTTTTGTACATCTTCCCTCTCGTGAACATTCCAAATTGTCTACTCAATCTGCTATGTTGTGGATTGTAGGATATAGTCCAGATCACAAGGATTTTTTATGTTATGATCCTTCTATTCATCATATTCATATTTCTCGGAATGTTATGTTTCTGGATCATATCTCTTTCTTTGCTGGAGTTGCTAGATTGCCTGCACCCTTTATCTTTGTTTTGCAGAACTGATGTAGGACCAGCTCAGTTCTATAGTCCTTAGAGAATGTTGAATGGTCTTCTTGATCAGAGTTTTATGGCTGTTGATGACTGTAATGGCTTCTTGAAGGAATAAGAGAGAAAATACCTGGAATCACTCACAGGGTGCCTAGAATCACTCTTGGGCATGGGAATCACTCACCATAGCTAACATAAGCTGAAGAAAACTCAATATACTTCATTGTCTTAGTGTAAAACGCCTATACATATTTATAGACTCCAAACTTATAATAATCCTATGAGTCAAACTGCTAGACTCATAATAGTATTAGGAGTCAAACTGTTGGACTCAATAATCCTAGTAGGACTCAACTATGCTGTCATATCATATTTCAGTTCAAAGAAGACTCAATAACTCTAATCCTACTTATGCAATGATTCTGAAATTTTAAACATAAACAAACTATAACTAGACAAATTAAACCCTATCAATGGACCCTACAAAAATTGCAAAATGACGAAATTTCATAAGATTCCAATTTTGACTCTTCAGCTCCTGCATCAAGAACTTTGATTTTGAGGATGTTTCCCTTTCTCCGGCTGTGAAGGACCTTCTTGTCTTCTCTCGCAAGCTCCTACATGCTCTAGACCCCCTTCCTCCTGGTCTTGATCATCATCCATCTGCTCCTCTAGTAAGTGATGTTCCTTCCTCAGATACTAATTCCTCCATTTCTCTTTGTTCTACTCATATTTCTCGACCACCTGAACCTATGGTTTTCCTTCAAATCATAGTTCTTTCTTTGTTGTCTTATCCTCCACAGATATTCCTTGTTCATACCAACAAGACATTAATAGTCTACCCTAGAAAGAGGCCATGGATGCAGATATTCATGCTTTACATGAGAATGGCACCTAGGACCTTGTGCTACCCCTCCAAACGTTTCTATTGTTGGGATTGGTTTTATATTATTAAATTGAAGCCAATTGGCTCTCTTATTAGGCTCAATTAGTTGCTTAGGGATACAAGTAGGAGTATGGAATTATTTATGAGACGTTTGCTCCAATTGCTAAAATTACCACAGTCCATGTCCTATTAGCTCTGTTTGTCGTTCAGTCTTGGTCCATTTATCAATGTGAAGAATGGCTTTATTCATGATCAATTGAAGGATAATGTTTATATGACCCCCCCCCCCTCATGGATATTGCAATGGTCCTTCTCCAATTTGTAGGTTAAAGAAGTCCTTATACGGATTGAAGCAACCTCCTTGACCATTGTTTGAAAGATTCTAGGATGTTATTGTTGTGGCAGGATATAGTCAGAGCTCCTTTGACTACTCACTCCTTGTCTGTAAGAGACTTAAGGGTGTTACAATCCTTTTATTATATGTTGATGATATGTTGTTAACTGGGAATGATGATGAGGGAATTCGTGAGCTGAAGTCTCTTGCTCATAACGCCTTTCACATGAAGGATTTGGGTCCTCTTATTTCTTGGGTTTGGAAGTTCATCATAATGCTTGAGGATATTTCATGTGTTAGCAAAAATATGCCACTGATCTTGTCAAACTAGATTATATAACAGATGTCAAGCATGTTGGTACTCCTTTAAAGCTGAATGCTAAGTTGTCCAAATCATAAGGGCCATTACTTCCAAATGCCACTCTATATAGACAACTTGAGGAGTCTCATATTATCTCACTATGACTCGACTGGTATTTCTCATGCTATTCAAGTTGTAAGTCAGTTTGTCTCTGCTCCTTGTCAACCTCACTTGACTGCGGTTCACCGGATCATTCGTTATATTCATGGCATAATTACTCAGGGTCTCTTTCTCTCTTCCTCTTCACCCATAATTAAGAGCATTTGTAGATGCTGATTGAGCTGGTTGCCCAAACACTCGTTGCTCTACTACTGGGTGGTGTGTGTTTTTGGGTGATTTTCTCCACTCTTGGAACTGCAAGAAACAGTAAATTGTTTCCAAGTCTTCTACTGAAGCAGAGTATAGGGCGATGTCTTTTGTGTGCAGTGAGCTAGTCCGGCTACAGTCTTTATTTTTGGATCTTGGTGCTTCCATTCCTACACCTATTCCTCTCTATGCAGATAATACAAGTGCTACCAAGATTGTATCAAATCCTGTGTTTAATGAGAGGACTAAGCATATAGAGGTGGATTGTCACTTTGTCATAGACATGTTCCTTGCTGGGACTATTACTCTTCCTCGTGTAGCCTCCAACATGCAGATTGTTGACATCTTCACAAAGGCTATGTCTTGTCCCCAACATCTCTTTCTTGTAGGCAAACTGATGCTTATACCCATGCATCAGTTTGAGGGGGAGTGTGAAGAGACTTGATACATCATATTAGGATATCCCTTGTTGTACACTATATATCAGCTTTGTTGTTTTACTTTTTTTCCCTCTATTTTCTTTCAGCCCCATAAGGGCACTTTTGTAAATATACATAATATGTTACGTTTAATATACAAGAGGCCTTTTGGGGTGGGGTCAATTGATTTACTCGACACCTCTAGAACTGTTTTCTGCTTGCTGCACTAGGGTTGACGAACTCAAACTCAAAGTTCATAACATCATGCAATGCCAAACAATGCACAAGAGTGGCATGTGGATAATTGACCGTCTTTCTTTACATAATATGCTATACCTTCAAAGTGAATTTATATGTCAACTAATGTAAACATTAAAGAATAGCTATTGAAATCACCTGGATTTACAAATGACCCTAAAACAATGGTTTGTCTATAGAACCGTGAGTGTCCATCAAGATACCTAACCAAGAAAATGAACCAAAAGATCAAATCATCTGATTCCAAGCAATTAATAAAATGCTTTAAAAACCAAACAGCAATAAGATGAGATGCCAAGTTGATCAGTTGATTAGTAAAAAATGACCTCTCCACAACTGTCAGTTTTCAATTATTAATCTTGACACACAAGAATGCTCCAACCAGTCAATTTCTATAAGAAAATAACATTTGGCATTTATTATTTCTACATTGAATTTCATTTGCAAGCTGAAAAATGAGTCAGTGAGAAACACCCCAGCTGCAAAAACATTATTGTGAAGAATACTGGATTCATTCTAATAAAAACAAACAGTACTTTATCACATGTGATAATGCCTTCTAATCTAAAATCTAACCCCTAACAGTCAAAACATACCAATGTCTAATGCGCATGACATCAATTCCATGCTGCTTTGATGGAAAGCAGTTCAGTTGTTCAACCACAGAATTTACATGAGACCAATTCTGCAAAATAAAACATAAACTTCTGTGTTTAAGCAATGTACTTAAACAAAATACAATAGGAAGAAGGTAATCATGTCTCATACCTGCATTGCTATTACATCCGCATGATCAATTATCAGTACCTACTCATAACAATAAAAGCAATCATTGCTTTCTAAAAAATGACAAAATATGGTTTTATGCACCAGAAAACCAATACTAAAGACACACACCTCTATGGAAGACAGATAATCAACATCCTTTTCCTTCTCAACCTCAGCTTCCCCAATTTTCTGACAGGAGCCATCAAAGTCAATACTAAAGTATGTTTGATATGGGATGCATAAAAAATACAGTGAGACTTGTTTTTCCAGTCAAACTGAAAGGATGAAACATTATGTGGGTCTGGTAATTTGTTATGTTCATTCTTTAGAAAAGGGAAATATTATATGTATCCATTACACAATAGTCATTTATAGCGAAGGAATAACATCCAGCTGAAATTAAGTTCTTGATAATTTAAATCTTATGAACAACAGAGTTACTGGGATACCCTTGCAAAATGAATGACCCAAAAAATTGGCTATCAAATATTCTCCTTGGGACATCATCCTGTACAAGAGTTGGCCATTCTCCTCTAGGCATTGTTAATATGGTATCTAGTACTAAATCAGTAAGAGAAAACAGCAAGAAAATACGAGGGAAGAAAGAAAAATAGAATACACGGTAGAAGGTGAAGAGAAAAAGAACCCTGCGGATGATAACTTAAATCCTCCTAAAACAGCCGGCCCACTACATATTTACACAATAAAAGGAGAAATTACATAAATGACCTTCTGTATGATAAATTGTGGACTAGAGCTTCCTTATTTAAAAGGTAAAGAGTCTAATCTACCCTACAGCCCAAATACATCTCCATTGTCAACACTCCCCCTCAAGTAGGTGTGTATGTATCATATAGACACAGCTTGTTAGCAATGAAACCAATACCAGGGCAGTGTAGTGTTTTAGTCAGCTAGTTGGTCTCCAATTTTTGCACTCTGAACCATCTCTCTGACAAAGTGACAGTCCACCCCAATATGTTTCCGCCTCTCATGGAAACAAGGTTTGATGCAATATGGATTGCTGCTTGATTATCAAAATGTGAATGCATGGGAGTCTTTATGGATATCCCTATTTCGTGAAGAAGATTTTTAAGCCACACTAACTCCTCTATACATTGAATCATATCTCTATACTCAACCTCTACACTAGATTCTGCTACAACATTTTGTTTTTTGCTCTTGCAGGAGATAAGATTTCCTCCCAAAAATATACGATAATCTGTTAGTGACCTCCGGTTTGTTAGTGATCCAACCCAATCTGTCAAATGGCCATCATCTCTATATGCAACTCCCTTACCTAGTGACTCCTTGAAGTATCGTATAATCCTAAACCCTACTTCCAAGGTGAGGAACCTGAGAGATCATAAACCGGCTTACAATTCCAACAACAAAGCATATACCTAGAACGATAATTGTCAAATAATTCAACTTCCCAACTAGTCTCCTATATTGCCCAAGATCATCTACTAACTTCCCCTAATCTGATGCAAGCTTAGTGTTTGGATCAGTAGGTTCTATTCCAAAGAAATAATGCAGTTTACCTAGGTCTATGGTATGAAATCTCTCTTGTAGAAACAACATCAACTTATTGATGTTTTGTGAGTCACTTCCTGTTATTATAATATCATCCACATAGACAACAAGAATAATACTACCAGCATCAAAGGTCTTGCTAAATATAAAGTAGTCAAACTGGCACCTAAGAAAACCAAGTTCAGCGGCTACCTCAATGAACTCTCCAAACCAAGCACGAGGTGACTGTTTGAAGCCATACAATACCTTCTTCAACTTGCATACCATTCCATTACACTCCCCTTGAGCAACAAACCTAGGTGGTTGCTCAATGTATATACTTCCTCCATAAGATCACCATGTAGAAATGCAACATCTAACTAAAGCAAGAGCCAATGATTAATAGTATTCAAAGAAATAAAAACCTATATCAAAGTAATCTCAGAACCAGAGAGAAAGTCTCATCAAAATCAACACCATATGTCTGAGTAAAACCCTTAGCAACCAATCAAGCTTTAAGCCTCTTAACTGTGCCATCGGGTTGAAATTTCATCGCATACACTTACCTACAACCTATAGGTTTCTTACCAAAAGGTAGAGTAACCAAATCCCAAGTTACATTTTGATGTAGTGCTAACATTTCTTTTTGCATAGCTGTCCTCCATTGTTGAAGGACTTTTTTAAATCCAAATAATATTTAAATAATTTATAACCCAAATAAGTGGGTTGGCTAGTATGTTAACTAAATCATCAAAACTGAAAACAGCTGTCCTTCACCTAAGGGGAGGAGGTAGTTGTATAACTACCCCACTTCCTAGAGGCTCTCCTCTTCGGAAAAAAATTGTGTCTCAAGAGATTCTTAAGAAAATCCAAGGTAAACAAAGAAAAGAAGAGAAGTGCTCAAGGGAAGACAAGGAAGGAAAAGAAATCTCACTAATACAGGTAAGAAAAAGGAAAGTCCTCTACATGAATACTTCCTATATATATATCTTCTGCAATGTATCCTTCGTTCTCTCTCTATTATTTTTACTTTTAAGAAAGGAAATAGATGGAAATAAACCATCTACGACCAGGTGATTTTACTTGGTTGATTATTGTCCTTCTATCAAGACAAATTAGGGATTAAACCATCTACAATCTAATTCCAAAGGGCTGATTATGGTTCCCTTCAAATGAAAATGAAGAACAGACGGATAAAAACCGTCTACAATCAAATATTCAACTTGATTGATTATGGTTCCCTTCTTGCATACAAATTCCAAAGGATTAAGGCTGTCTACAGTCAGAATTTCATCCGATTGACTACAACTTATTGTGAAGAAAGGAGTGAGAAGGAAATCTTCTTTGTGTCAAAAAGAAAAGAAAGAGACAAATATATTTTTGCAGAGTTACTCAATTGTATTTTCTTCTTTTTCTTTTCATTCTTGTACTTGATGTAAAAGAAATGCAAATGAAAAGTTCTTTTTTAAGAAGTACTCTATTGTTCTTTTCTTTTATTCTATGCATTCATTTCTCTAAGTCAAAATCAAAAGGTTTCTTTGTTCTTGGCCGAATAGAGAAGAGAACAAGAAAAATCTTAGAGGTGTCTAGAATAGTTGACCCCCACCTTAAAGAGTCTCTTATATTAAAAGACATGTAAAATAACAAGAATGCCCATATAGGGCTGAAAGAGAAAAAGAATAAAAGAATACAAATAATGTAATATACAACAGGGACTATACTAATAAGATACATGATACATCAAGTCATAGAATCTCTACATTCACTACTTTCTTGTGGAGATGTAATTAAGGGGAACAATCTGTACCGAATGGACCTTACCCAAAATAATAAAAGTTCAATCACTTGATCGAGTGAATTATGTTGCATGAGAATTTATTAAAATTTTCACACCAACATCCACCCAGGATTAGATAATGCTTCTTGCAAAGACTTTGGAATAGAAATTGTAGAGAGGGATGTAACAAAGGCAAGGGCTGAAGGGGCCAGGAACTGATAAGAAACATAATGGCTAATGATGTATGAGGTAAAAGAATGCTTATCCTTTCTAAGAGCAATGGAAAGATCAAGGTCTGAAGGCAGCTCAACAACTTATGATATTTTGTAGTAGTAGAAGTTGTGAAAGGATCATTTGGACCTGCAAACAGCAAGACAAGAAGATTGAATAGGTGGCATGGGAAGATTAGGACGAGGAACCTGTGGTGGGGTATCACAAAAGGGAACAGGAAGAGGATGAACAACACAAAAAGAAGAGTGAGAATGGTCACTACATAGAAAGTATGGATTAGACTCATAAAACGTAGCATCTTCACTAATAAAATGGTGACAAAGAGAGTACCGTAACACTTGTACTCTTTTTGAGTATTGAAATAACCCAGAAATATACACTTAACTACATGGGGTTCAAGCTTACTCCATTGATGGTTAAATAGGTGAGCAAGCAAACAAACAAACGTGCATGGAGGCAATGGAAACAAGGGTGCATCCGTAAATAAAACAGAGTGAGGAATCTTATTCTATAAAACTAATTAGAGCATTCGATTAATAAGGTAACACACAGTAAGCACAACATCACTCTAGTAAATTTTGGGAGCATTCATCTGAATAAGGGCACATGTTACTTCTAATAAATAACAATTCTTGCATTCAGATACACCATTTTGTTGTGGTGTACTAATGCAAGATGTCTGATGTCAAATAACAAGCTCAAGATAGAAATTGGTAAAAGGAGAAGACAAGTTTTCCTTTGCATTGCTAGATTGAATAGCACGACAATTGAAGCCAAACTAGGTTTTTATCTCCATAAAGAATGATTTGAATACAAAAAAAAAATAACTGTGATCTTTCCATTAACAAGAATAACCAAGTAACTTTTGAACACTAAATACGACACAATAGGACACAAACCCCAAACATCTGAATGGACTAACTGAAAAGGTCTAGACACACAACTACCAGTTCAAGGTGGAAAAGTAGTCCGATGATGCTTACTAAGCTAACATGAATCACACTAAAAGTTGGTGTTGACCGGAATTGATGGACACAAAAACACAAAATCTCTGTAAAAGGATGATCCAATTGGAAATGTAGCTAGAAAGGAGACATATCTGGAGATGATGATTGAAGAGTAGTACTTCCTAAGGCACCTTGTAGGTAGTAGAGACCATTGCACTCAAGTCCTACACCGATCTGCCTCTTCATCTTTAGATATTGAAACACACAATAAGAATGAAGAAAAAAAGGCAACAAAACAATTCAGTGTTTTTTGGTATGTTTACTCACAGACATGAGGTTAAAAGGAAATTGTGGAAAATAAAGCACAAATGATAAAGGAAGTGGTAGAGCTGTGTTGACACTCCCAACTCTAGACACTAGGGATGTACAACCATTAGCAAGTGTAACAAGTTGGGTAGAAGGAGAAGATAAAGTACTAAATTGGGTATAAGCAAATGAAGTACCTATCATGTGGTATATAGCTCCTGCATCAATCAACCATGGAGGTGCGGGACCAAGAAGATAGGTGGAGACAGTACTTGATGTTTGGGCAAGAGTAGTTAATGGTAGGTAGACCCTCATGATGACAATGTTCGCAAAACAAAATTCCATACAAGTCTCTATAGTAACCAATGGTGTGGCCTTTTAATACATAATGAGTGCAAAATCTGGTGGTTGGATTCCTACCCTGTCCATGATCACCCCTACCTCCATTATCACCTCTAGGTCCTCTACTACATTGTGGTCTAAAAGAGCCATGTCCACCACTTCCACATCATCCTTCATATCCACCACGATTACCACAATCACCACTTCCAAAAACAAGAAGAGCAGCCCGATTAGAAACTGGAGTGGATTAAGATAATTTAGCCCTTTGATACCTAATAGAAACTGGAGTGGATCAAGTAATTCTAGGTTGCCTAAAATTTAAGTTCTCATTAATTCATATTCAGGTTTGATACCTAATAGAAATTTAGTTAGACATAATTCCTTCCTCTGCTTTTCCATAATTGTAACATTACTAGTGACATGGGCGGATAGAAATTTTCTCTATTTGGTTGTTGAAGGTTGTCTTCCTGTGCGTTGTCTAAGATGACAGTGAGCCGATGGAACATGATCGAGGGATGAAGATGAAAGGGTCATTTTCGATTTGGGGGAGTAGTAGGGTCAAGGGGTTGAGTGTTTAGAGGTTGAAGGGGGGGGTATTTTGGGAATGGAGGATGTTTATGAGGGTGAGGAAGGCAGGCATCTCGATGGTGGTAGGGGGTAATTGGGTTCGAAAGTAGGGAAAGGTGAAGCCAAGGGGTTGGGGAGAAAGATTCAAGAAAAGTTAAGGAGACAATGGAGGTGGTTCCAAGGGTGAAATAAATTTAAACTGAGCCCATTTTTCCAAGAAAAAGAATTTTGAATAAAGGGGACAACGTAGATAAATAGTCGAAGATGGAGAGTGAGAAGCATTGTGCTTCGCTTGGAAGATCATGATGCGAAAGACTCTAAAAGGAATGAAGTTGGAGATGGTTCAATTGAAAAGTCAAGTGAATTTGTTTGATAAGGTTTGAGTGAAGCAAATTCAAGTGATGGTCCTTTTTCAATTGACCAAGCAGGTAGTACTCAGACTCTTGAGTCCTCATGTCCTGAAGCAAAATTTTCCATTTGTCATGTAGTGGTGCCACAAGTTTTGAAAGTTTGCTTTGGCAACAATGAGGACTCGGGAGTCTGAGGCTAATACATGATTGCACCCATGTGCGAGTGGGAGTTGTTAGACAGTATATGCCCTTAACTCCAATCAGATTAATGCACATAAACATTTATTAGTAAATGAATAAAGTACAATATTATTTTATGTTCAAATTGGTGTGTTTCTATGAATTACTCCTTAGACTGGACACTTAAGAGACTCGCGTTAGTTTATGAAACTAGTGTGCTACCGAATTGGTGGTGTAGATTGTCTCAACTGCTAGGGTTAGACCCGAAGCACAACTAGTTTGGAAGAAATATTGAACCCAAACCAATTTCCAGTTATTCCTTGGACCTTGAAGATAGATGGGAAAAATTGGAAAGTTGCACTTAACCCCAAACTTGATTATGATACTGCACTAGGTTTTGGACTGAACTGTCTTTGATATACCAATCGATGAGATCCATCAAGGTTTAAATATCTGGGTATGTTGGGGCAGTTTGGGAAATTACCTGAGTGGGTGAGCATAGTGATAGGATCGGCCCATTTATTAGACAAATTGAATATCAAGGTTTGCACTCTCTCTAATGGAAACCTAAACTGCCAACAATGAATTTCAACTGTATTTGAAATCTGATTTGCAAAATGTATTTATATGTTATATTACTATTTTTTTGAAAAAGGTTTACAAAAGTTTTTAATCTCGAGATCCATCCGAGCAAAGAGTGTGACACTGCATTTTGCAGTCAGGAAAGAGGTCCTTTCTTGTGGGCAATGTTTTGATGATTATGAACCTAGAGGTTAAGTGTAAGAAATCATTACAAGGTTGATTACCTAATGAGCTTTATCTTACAAGTCCATTATCCTTAGCTCTTCATACGATGGCTGAATCCAATGATCATTTATGGGTAAATGTTGGGCCCAAACTGAGCCCAAGCTAATTGGATCAAGGGTTCACTGCCTAAGCAGTGAATTCAGCCTAAACTCTTTCAAAGGTAGGGCTAAACCCTTACGGACTTGTGTGAGACTTTTTTGTGTTCTACTCCACACAATATTCATGCCCAAAGTGGCTATGGAACACCTTGGGATGTGAACCATTAAAGAAAATGGGGATAAGGACCATTAGTAATGTCATTAGTTAAGAGGTTGTCATGTGATTTGGGTCGAAAATGGGTATAGATCTAGGTATGGAGCACCCATTCTCTTAAGAAGACAATGCTTATCAATTAAAGGTAAAGTCCAAATCCAAATTTGATTTGGATCAGGTCCTGATTAGATGAAGAAATTGCTCTATATAAGGGATTAAGAGGGGAGGAACGATACACACTCAGTTCTCTCCAATCTCTTGCTCTCTTCTCTTCTTCCTTGCCTCCTAGAAACCCTAATTCAATCCAGCTGTGATAGGGGCTGATTTCCATTAGTTCTCTACTGTGTTTTTGCAAGAATAACATCAAAGGACACCAGGTTCACACACCCACATTGATCCAAGCAAGTTAGGAACCAGTTTTGCTGAAACGGTGTTGTTGAATCAGGTATAATCAGTTTTAATTTGGGTTTCAAATCTGATCCGGTTCAATGCAAGATAATTTCAGATTCCAAAATCATCGGGAAATCGGTTCTTGGGTTGGGTTAGAAAAAATTTTAAAAATTTGACCAACCACTAAACCTGGCTCAGCATGTGAAATTTGATTTCTAACCCTTCCAACACTTACGCAGTGCAGTTTATTTGAGTATTTTAAAGGACAGGACTGGAATAACATTCTTAATTGGACCAAGCAAAATTGGACCCACCCCAAAACACATGGAGCCATTAGCTCCTGTATTATTTTTCCTTTTCTTCTTCCATTTCTGTTTTTTTTCTATTCAGGGCAACATATAAAATAAAAGCAGGTAGACCTCACTCAACAACATTTATGGGATGTGGACAAAACACATGGAGCACCATAATATTTGACAATTTTCCAATTTTCCAACTAGTTAATTTTTAAGTCACCCATACTTACATGTCATTATAATTAATTCAAAAACTGGGTGAAATTACTTACCCCACACCAAGCCTATACCCAATAAAAAATGAGTCCAATAGGACCCGTTTCATCTTCTACACCCAACATTGAGGAGCAAGGTTTAATGAACCCAGTTCAGTTTTAAACTATTTGTTTTTTCACCAGTTTCAAAAGAGTATTCTCAATCTAATCAAAACATATAGTGACAATAAAGAAAAATGTTAAAATGGCAAGTAATTGACATATATAAAGAAGAGAAGACGGCTAAAGACACAAATATTCCAATTACGGTCTCTTGATCATCTCCTATTTCATTTATAAAGTTCATTGCTATGGCTTTTTGAGCCTTAAATGTGCAATTATATTTCTTTTAACGATCACTTGAAAGTTTATTAACTAATTCCATGTTTCTAGAAAACCTTCTTGATATTTCAGATATTTCAAATATCTTAGCGAAACTAGCGAAATGTCTCCGAAATTTCTCCAACTCTACATGATGAAATTTTCGTTGATATCAAAAATTACAAACCATGGCACATTGTAGAGCTTTCTACCTTAAGTCCTCAAATTTACATCTAAAAGCCCATGAAGGGAATCTGCGCAACAAATTTAAGGCTTATAAATAGAATCTTTTCACTAATATTCTTTTGCTGATTGAATATTCATTTAATTTCCATTAGCTACTTGATAGAAGTTCCTAGCAACAGCAACACGCATCATTATTTAATTTTCAGACAGGTTGATATGGAGAAGAGGCAAGGGAAAGTGAAAGTGTATGTTCATAGCATTAACACTAATTCATAATAAATTCCAAAAGTGACTTACAGTAATTAGTCCAAGAGGAGAAGCAATAATCATGTCTGAGGAATAAAAGTCACTATACATCTTTATACTTTTCCTGAAAAAAAGAAAGGAAATTCCAGTAAATAAGTAATCTATGTAGCCTTTTCTTTTACTTGTTAAACAGATATCATATGAAATTGTTCTTCCAACCAAAAGACTTTTGTGTGATGAAATATACATACAGATGGGTTTCTTTTAAGAGATGAAATATGTAATATCCAAAACAAATGGAGGATTTAGTTATAAATCATCAAGAGCAAACATGCTTTTGTTGAGGATGCAAATGTTCAATATCTGGTTATAACTTTCTACCATGTTGTTGATAAAATGAGGCTGCCAAACATGTTGGGGAATATTTTGAAGTGAAACGCAGCGTTTCAGGATTCAACCACCTTCTACATGAATCCAAGGAATAGTGAGAATTCTTGATCTCTCTCACTGTCTCTCAGTTCAAATATCAAGGAAAAACCAAGTTTTGCATGGGGGTTCAAGAAACCTCCAATATGAGCCTTTCATCCAAATGGCTCTTCCACCAAAGATCAATAGAGCAATCAAAAATACCATTGGTTACTAACTTTTGATGTGTCTAACAACTATTGTTATCCTTTCCTCCAGGTATTAACTATCAAACTATTACATGGCACAATAAAATGCAACTTCAGTGTATAAATATGGTATATTCATTGTTATAAGCACTATTTCTAAAAGAATATGCTGTTCTAGAGAAATAAGACTTATTTGTTTTTCTAAAGGACCAGGACCCAACTCCAAGTGGCAGATTATATGCAGCTTTTTAGATAGACTGTTGAATATAGAGTTCACTGAAAAGTGGCAAATTGACATCACATAATGCTGTCATCTTCCACAATCATAACATCACTCAAATATGTTATTTCGATGATCTTTTACCTTTAAGAAACTCCAGAATCTACAAAATGGTTAAGATGAGTTTAGTTGTATTATTAGCTACAGTTCTATATCTTCTTTTGAAAAGTGTATTCTATATTTTTGCAACCCTAATACATTAACAAGCAATGCAGGACAGTCATATTTTTGCACCTTCAGATATCAGAAAGAAAGATTAGTTCAACCTGGTATAATGAGCATGTAAAGAGTACAGAGTAGTAAAAGATGAAAGATGTCTAATCAACATATTTTCTTTTTACAGATCTTCTTCCACCTTTTCTTTTCTTCTTTTCCTATAACAAAAGTAGGGGGTTCAGCTCCTATATTTTTTGAATTTTCTTTCCTTTGTTCCTTTTCTTCTCATAAAATGTTGATTTTCTAAACTTAAAACATGAAATTTATACTTCTCTGATAAAAATTATGGATAATTATTAAGGAAAGATGGCTATGGAACCTAGGGAACTACCCTAGGATATATGGTGTTACTTAAAAAAAAATCCATCGCCTAGGCAACTAGGCGACAAGGCGCCCCCCTGTCGCCTAGCCTCGCCCTGGCGCCTTAAAAACTATCATAATCACTTTAGGACTCATCATTTATATTAACTCCCATATGAATTCGTGACTTACTTGCTTTGGTGATTCCTGGTTTCTTGCATTAAATTAGTCTTAATAGAAACAGCAATGTTATAAAGGATCATTGATTGAATATGAATATATTAGAAGTGTGAATATAATTAGTAATTCAAACCCAAGTTGAAGTTAGAAGTTTCTGTTTTGGATCTAAAAGAGATATCAACGGGATGCCCATCATAAAGCAATCATTGGCAAAAATAGTTTTTACCTAGTAAACTTGATACCCATCATAAAGTGGTCATTGTTGTTCCCACCAAAAAGGACTTGAAAATCTGAAGGTTTAGAAGACTTCTGTATGTTTGAGTTTTCATTATCTCGAACATTGTTTGCTATCTCATTTTCGCCATCATCATTATCATCCTGTACTGCTTCGGCACCAAATTCATCAGAGAAACGATCACTATACTCCACATTGACCTGGGAAAAATCATCAGAAAGATGAGTATTTGTGATGCAAATGCAATACAGAAGACATGTCTAAAATCACAACAAAAGATAGAAAATAGCAGCTTGACTGCATTCTAATGATAACCAATCCAGATTCTGTAGCATGCTAGTAGCAAGTATCTCATCATAACCATTGGAAATCCATGGATTTTAAATTTGTAGTAGTTCTGAGTCACCTACCTGTGTATAGAATTTCCACAAAAAAAGGGGCTTTAGGTTTCAGGAGAGTGGATCTTGTTAATAACACTCTTCTTTGTAGATTGGCTTGCAGATTTGTTAGAGGAAGAGTCTTTGTGGGTCAAACTCAAATAATGAAAAAATAAATCCCACACAAATTTCCTACTACAGCTTCACCTCTTTGGAAAGCTGTAGCAAAAGCCTTGATTCATTTATTTCCTTCATTAGGAGTTCAAACTCAAACTAGGTGAAATAATACAGTTTGAGATGTTCCCTGGATAGCCAAAAACAATTCATTTTGGTCCACCAACTAAGAACCTCAAGGATTTGCAGGTTACTTAATCTGTGAGTCCACACCTAGTTGGGATGTTCCGAACTACATGAAATTTTCAACAATCCGATATATCTTATATGTTCAACAAACTTGTTTTTTTGTAATACAAACTCTGAAAAATTCGTTTGGACAAATTCTGCGTGGGAAGCATACTATTAAGAGATTTTGTTTGAATGAACAGAAAAGGTCTCATTTGCCTACGCAAGGCTTTGAGCTTTGGTATAAACCAGAAAATTTGGAGGCCATTGTTTTGTGGTCAGATTTTTGTGCAAGCTAATCTGTTTTGTGGTCTGATTTTTGGACACATGTCATGATGACTTCTGTCCAAAAAGCTGATATCACATTCTTGAACCAAATCTGCACAGTTTTTCTAATCTGAAAGTATTCTAGATTGAAAACTGATACTTTGAGCATTAGTTCTAGCCAGTCAAGCGGACTATACACCAATAACACACATTATCATAATGCTTGGCTTTCTGAGCCAAAAACGAGCAGCTTTGGTAAGTGACCTAGACAGCTAGATTTACAAAACATACATTAACAAGAGTTTTTACAATAGATAAACTTCTATCTACCCAAACCCCAAAACACCAAGAAATCTTTAATTCTTTCTTACACATTTCTCTTTTCTTGTTAGGTTTACCCAACCATAGCAGGCTTATATCTGCTGCTCAAATTAGTTTTCGATCTTCTTATTGTTTGATCGGTTATGAATATATTTTTCAGATAAGTAACTGAAGATATTTTTGCTTTCTTCTTTTGGATAAATATATTTCCTAACATTAGCACACCATATTTTCATTTCTATGGATATCAACATGAAATATTATTAGAATCAATATATTCCCGGTGGAAACTACTGACACTATGTAAAGAATACAAAGAGGGTATGCAAGTTGACACTATGTATAGGAGAAGGCCAATAAGTTTTATGCAAGTTGGGACCATTCCAAGACACATAAGAAACAGAGATGACACCACCGACCCAGCAGTAAATATTTACCGATATAGCACCGTCATAGGATTTCTATCTTAGTTCGTTTCTACCAAGTTGGCACCATCACAGAGTATCTATCTTAGTTTGTTTTTACCAAGTTAGCATTATTTCGAATTTATATTCAATTAGGACTTTCCTTTTGAAGGATTTTAGTAGGATTCTATTTTGGAGTGTTTTCTTAGATTAGGATTTTCTTTATTAAGGAGTTTTAGTAGGATTCTATTAGGAATAGGAGCCATATGGGTGTATGCCTATATAAAGAGTAGCCAGGGGAAGGTTAAGGCAGTTCTCTTGTTATCAATTTTCTCTTTATTATTTAGTGAAGAATTCTTCTTCCTAAAATTCAACTTCTAATCTTTTCTTTGAAGCTTTTCTCACGTGTTTCATTTCCGTACTACGCCAATTTATCAAAACTCAAGTTGATCCTTCTTCGAATTATGGATCCTAAGAAAAACCAGTAACTCATATCATGGAGCAGAAACTCAACAACAAAACACAAGAAGAGATGGCAGAGAAGAGAAGACAAGTCGACGCACTTGCTCAGGAGGTGAAATCACTACATTCCCGGTTGGAAACAAGGAACAGTGACTCCAACGCAAGTATCTCCACACGTTCCCTTTCATCATCAAGACAAACAACCAGAAGAATTCATGGATTGGCTCTTCGTAGTAGAAGAAGTCCTTGAATTCAAAGAAGTTCCGAAAAATAAAATTGTGTCCTTAATAACCTCTCAGTTTAGAGGACGAGCAACAGCATGGTGGTACCAATTGAAGGTCATGCGACAGAGAAGAGGCAAGGAAAAGATTAAGACATGGGAGAAACTCAAGGCAAAGATGAGATCAAAATTTCTACCCCATAATTATATTCGTTTACTTTATCAAGAATTGCAAAATCTAAAGCAAGGAGCTGATACATTAGATGAATATACAAACAAGGTTCATCTGTTAGTGGCCCGGAATGAATTAGCTGAAACCGAAGACCAATTGGTGGCTAGGTATATAGGTAGTCTGAGACCAAATATTCGGGATATATTAGACATATTTGACTGCTATGATGTTTCTATGGCACATCAACATGCTCTAACCATAGAAAAACAAAGCAGCCGATCTAACCAATTGGGCCAAACACAAACTAATGTGGCCAAACCACCCCACGTAATAATCCTAACCCGCCTCTAAATCAGCCATAGCCCCGTGGGCTGAACCAAAACCAAGGGCGTGGACCTAATCAAAACCAGGTGGGTCCACCTAGACTGAAGTGTTTTAAGTGTTGTGAACCAAGCCATAAATCTGTTGAATGTGTGAGGGTGATAAAAAAAAAGGGGTGTTGTTTGTAGAAGATGAGAGTGAAACCCAATTAGAAGCATCTGACTGTTCAGCCCCACCCGTGTTTGACTCTTATAATAAAGAAACCTTTGAGGGAGAAATGGTGTATGGAGATGTGGGAGAGGCCTTGGTATTGCAACGATCATTCCTAACTCCTAGGAATGAATCATTTGATTGGCTAAGTTGATAGCAGGAGTTGTGAGAATGTTATAGTGGAAGTAGCTGTCTACAAGCTGAACCTAAAAACTCAACAACACCCTCACCCCTACAAGCTTGCATGGCTAAAAAGAAAGAATGAGGTTTCAGTCACACAACGATGTCTAGTGAGCTTTTTTATTGGCAACAATTATAGTGATCGTGTGTGGTGTGATGTTGTATGCATGGATGCTTGCCATTTGCTACTTAGGTGCCTGTGGCAACTTGACTACTACGTAGTCCATGATGGACAAAAGAATACCTACTCTTTTGAGTTTAAAGGGAAAAGGCTGACCTTATGTCCATCACTAGAGACTAAACTGAAACCCGAGGAGAGTTCTACCATTTTTGCCATGACTGAATTCACAAGTGCCTTAAAAGAAATCGGTGTTGCGTATGCTTTAATTAACAAGGGGCTTGAGCTGAAAGGTGTGGAGGTTCCAGAGGAGGTGAGACCTTTTCTTGATGAATTTAGTGATGTGTTTCCCAGGGACTTACCGGCAAGATTACCACCATTAAGTGATATCCAACACTGTAGATTTAACGCTAGGTGCTAGTCTCCCCCAACAAGGCCCATTATAGAATGAGTCCCACTGAACATGAGGAGTTGCAAAAGCAAGTAGATGAACTATTTCCTAAAAGGTTCATACGAGACAATATGAGTCCATGCGTGGTCCCCGCTTTATTAGTACCCAAAAAGGATGGTACTTGGAGGATGTGTGTTGGCAGTCGGACAATTAATAAGATAGCCGCCAAATACTAATTTCCGATTCCACACTTTGATGACATGTTGGATCAGCTTTCTGGGGCCAAGGTGTTCACTAAGTTAGACTTGAAATCAGACTACCATCAAATCAATATTCGTCTCGGTGATGAGTGGAAGACAACATTAAAGACGTGGGATGGTTTGTAGGAATGGCTAATAATGTCATTCGGTTTGTTCAATGCACCAAGCACAGTCATGAGGGTCATGAACCACATTCTCAAGCCTTTTATTGGTCAATGTGTTGTGGTATACTTTGATGATATTCTCATATATAGCGCTGATATGAACTCTCATTTGTTGCATCTTCAAGATATACTTATGACTTTGCATAGGGAACAACTTTATGCAACCATGAAGAAGTGTATTATTGCCACGAATCAGGTCTTATTCCTTGGGTATGGCATCTCAAGGGAAGGAGTTTTTGTAGACCCAAAGAAGGTTCGTGCCATTGTTGAGTGGCCCATCCCCAAAACACTTACTAAAGCACGAAGTTTTCATTGTTTTGCAAACTTCTACCAGCGATTCATTAGCAAATTCAGCACTATTATGGCACCATATACAGATTGTATGAAGGCTACAACCAATTTTGTGTTCACCATTGAAGCAAAGAGAGCCTTCATTGAGATTAAGGCACGATTGACAACTGCACCTGTGCTAGCCCTTCCCAACTTTGAGCAACCCTTTGAGGTTGATTGTGATGCCTCTAAGGTTGGTTTCAGTGCTATTCTCAACCAAGGTGGTCGGCCCATAGCCTACTATAGTGAAAAATTGAACGGATCACGCCTCAACTACACAACCTATGATGTGGAATTCTATGTTGTGGTACAAGCGCTCCAGTGTTGGCAACATTATCTCATCTCTAAAGAGTTCATTCTATATTGAGATCATGAGGCACTTAAGCATATTAGGGTCCAACATAAGTTGAATGCAAGGCATGCTAAATGGGTCACATAACTCCAAGAATATTCGTTTTTGCTGAAACACAAGTTAGGTATGCACAATCAAGTAGCGGATGCGCTCAGCCAAAGAAGGGCCATGTTATCTACGTTCCGAGCACAAGTACTGGGGTTTGATACTTTTCGTGAATTATTTTTCATTGGCCCTTATTTTGCTGGTATCATAGAAGAAGTACAAGCAAGTAGTAGGACGGACTTTGTGATATATGATGGTTTCCTA